CATCACAGCTCATAGCAACCTCCAACTCCTGGGCTCAAGCGAGTCTCCTGCCTCAGCCTCCCAAGTAGCTGGGACCACAGGCGCCCGCCACAACGCCTGACCATTTTTTTTCTTTTTGGTTGCAGCCGTCATTGTTGTTTGGTGGGCCCGGGCTGGGGATTCGAACCCGTCACCTTAGGTGTATGTGGCTGGCGCCTTAGCTGCTTGAGCTACAGGCTCCGAGCCAGTGTTAACAGTTTTAGACCTTCTATTCTAGTCTGCGATCCCTTTTGAGTTAATTTGTGTATATGGTGTGAGGTTGGGCTCTAACTTTATTGTTTTGCATGTGGATATCCAGATATCCACACACACACACATATATGTAGTTGTTGTTGTTGATTTCTGCAAAGAAGCCAGCCAGGATTCCAGTGGAGATTGGATTGATTCCCCAGACCAGTTTGGGGAGTGTTGCCAACTTAATCATGTTGAATCTTTGGTGACCTCTTCTAGGTGGAGCTTTCTTACCCAGATGGCAGCCCTGCTGAGGGGGTGACAGTCCAGATTAAGGCAGAGCTGACACCAAAGGACAACATCTACACCAGTGAATCTGTGTCCCAGGGTGGACTGGTGGGGTTTGAAATTCCTTCTATCCCCACATCAGCCCAGCATGTGTGGCTGGAGGTAGGTGAGTTCCCTGGACCCTTGTCATTCTGCCAGCAGGTACGGGTGTGGTGCCTCCCCCAGGCTGGGTTTGCACACCAGGTCAGTGGACAGGGAGCCTGTCTCTCCCTAGAAGAGTTCCCAATCCAATAGAGGCACCAGATGGGCTGGATAACCCAGCCATCCAGGAGAAGGTTGGGAAGCCAGGGAGAAGTGAGGGTATCTGGCCCGTCACATCAGAGGAGGCCTCCCCAGAAGATCTCTATGAGTAGACTAGTGACCTCAGGCAAGACAGCCAGGTAACTTCTTTTTTTTTTTTTGAGACAGAGTTTTAACTTTATTGTCCTTGGTAGAGTGCTCTGGCATCATAGCTCATGGCAACCTCAAACTCTTGGCTCAAGTGATTCTCTTGCCTCAGCCTCTCAAGTAGCTGGGACTACAGACCCCTGCAAAAGTATCCATCTATTTTTTATTTTACAGACAAGGTCTTGCTGTTGCTCAGGCTGGTCTTGATCTCCTGAACTCATTCAATCTACCCAGAGTGGTAGGATTATAGGTGTGAGCCACTGCTCCCAGCCTGCCAGGCAGCTTCTGACAGGGTGGAACAGCATGATCATACTGTCATTGGGTCCTGCAAATGCTCAGTCATGCTGAGCCATTTCAGAAAGAGATTGGGGAGGGAGTCCCCACCTCTCAGGGGTGCTGGGGGTTTCTCTGAAAGGCAGCATCAGGGGGATAGAGGGATCTGATTGTCTTTTTAAATTAAAAAAACTTTTTTTTAGAAACAGGATCTTACTCTGTCACCGAGGTTAGAGGGCAGTCTTGCAGCCTCAACCTCCTAGGCTTGCATGATCCTCCTGCATCAGCCTCCCAAGTATCTGGGATTACAGGTGTGCACCACATGCCTGGCTAAGTTTTAAATTTTTTTTAAGAGTTGGGGTCTTACTATGTTGCCTACGCTGGTCTTGATTTCAAGTAATCGTCACACCTTGCCCTCCCACAGTGCCAGGATTACAGGCATGAGCTACCACACCTGTCCCAGAGGGATCTGATTTTGGAAAGCCAGTCGTCACTTCAGAACTTGCAGAGGGTAGGGGGTGGCTTCAGGGGGGACAGGAAACAGGACAGAGAGGCCACCAAACTGGAGCTGTTTAGGAAGCAGAGTCTGCAGGACTTGATGTCCCATTAGCATGGGAGGGACAAACAGGAGTGACAGAAGATATGATAGAAGAAGAAATCCCAGCCCTGTGCTTTGGGACCAGGTGGAAGACATGGCATCCCCACCATGACTGGGATGGCTGGGACAGAGGAGCCGATGAGAGTAAATGTGTAGGTGGGAACCAAGGACACTTACAGTCAGTTTGTCTTCTATGGGTGACACATCCTTTAGATTTTAGCCACTACATTACCAAGTGACATTCACAGTGAGATGCACCCATGCTCTCCTGTGTTTGCCCTGCTACTCAGTGCAGAGCGCAGCTGCTTGGTCACCTGGACCACTGTCCTGGTTTGAGAGAGTGACCATAGCCTGGCACCTCTCAGACTTGTGGAGGAACCAGAGACTACCTCCCCAGTCGGGAGAATGTAGTGTCTTCTGCCACCAGATACCCAGAGTTGGGCCACACTTCACAAGTGATGGGCATTGCTCTCTATAAGACTGCTCTCAGTTTAGACATCGGCCACAAGCCCTTAGCCACCCATATTTCTTAGCAACTGTCTACAAATTTGGGGCTTCCCGCTACCCCACCACTTTAGCATTACAGTTTTATCTCAGCAAAAGTGGTATGAATTAGGGAGAAGAATAGGGCAAGGTCTGGGAAGGTCCCAGATCTACAGCTTTGAGGGACGCTCATGTGAGCCTGACTGTCCACAGTTTGTTTTTTTTGGGGGGGGGGTTCATGACATTTGCGTGACTGATTAAATCACTGGCCATAGGACTGAACTCAAATCTCCAGCCTTCTTCCTTCCTTAGAGTAAGGCTGACATCATGGGGCTCAAGGCCACAACCCTGTAATCATATGGGTGGTCTTTCTGGAGTGGCCAATTCCCATTGTGGGTCATCTCATTAGCCTTGTTATTACCAGGACCCATCATCAACAAGAATGGTATTCCCATCACTCAGGGAATTCCAGGGGTTTGGTGGCTGCCTACCTCCCAGGCACTAAGGACAAAGGACGTTCAACTTCTTTATTACACAGAGATCTTAACCCCCTGTGGTCTTTCTGTTGCATTAGCCACATTTTTTTTTAGCAGCAAATGAGACCAGCTCAAATCACCCAAGAGGCAGAAATAACAACTGCCCTGGGCCTGGGGCTTGGAGGTTAGGGCTGTAAGCTCTGAGTGGATCTGGGTCTCCAGCCCCAGGGGATGCTGTCTAATATGGCAGCTCCTTTTTCTCTGTATTTATTTTGGGGGAGGGGGGCAGGATTATCTCCTCCAAGAAATCATCAGGGCCACTGGCAAGCCAAGGGGGAAAGAGAGAGGCTTTGCCAATGTGTCCCGTGATGGAGCAGCCTGCCCTGCCTGAGCCAGCCCCAACTCTGTTTAGCTGGTTGCTGGCACTTGCTTCTTGGACTTGAGAAGAACACGCTAGAACACTGGGTCCTAGTTTCTGAAGATTGGCAAGGGGGCTCCCAAAGGATAATTGAGGCATGAGAGTCTTGCTGCAGGGCAGAGCTGGCAGAAGCATCCCCAAGACCCCCTTTCAAACCCTGGCACCCAGGCCTTACCAAGTGTCCTCTGCTTTTCAGACCAAGGTGACAGCACTGAATGGGAAGCCCGTAGGGGCCCAGTACCTGCCCAGCTACCTCTCCCTGGGCAGCTGGTACTCTCCCAGTCAGTGCTACCTGCAGCTACAGCCGCCTTCCCGCCCTCTGCAGGTAAGATTTCCAGGTGCTCCCTTCCTGGGCTGGATGGGCCTCAGGAAGGGACATGTATGAGGCCAACACTGGCTGACATAGGGGCACCTCATCACTTCAGCAAGGAAGGTATTTGTGAGATGAACGCACTGTCATTTATTTATAGTGGACATTTAGGCTGTGACCCAGGGCTTCCTGTGACAAACACCACAGTAACCCGGGTGATATGCTGCCAGACCAGACAAGGAGCCGCTACTGTTGGGCTGGAGTCTCCACTGTCCAGAGCCTTCCTTTCTTGTGCAAAGGCTTCAGAGCTTTCCCCACTCAGTCATGCCGGGCACAAAGGTGAACTTAGAGTGATGTCCCACGTAAGTCTTTCCTAGGTCCATTATTACACAGTTCTGATTAAGTAAAATTATGTATATAGTCTTGGCACCCATAGCTCAGTGGTTAGGGCACTGGCCACGTGCATTGGGGCTGGTGGGTTCAAACCCAGCTTGAGCCTGCTAAACAAATAAACAAACAGAAAATAGCCGGGCATTGTGGTGGGTGCCTGTAGTCTCAGCTACAAGGGAGGCTGAGGCAAGAGAATTGCTTGAGCCCAAGAGTTTGAGGTTGCTGTGAGCTGCGATGCCACGCACCCTACTGAGGGTGACAAAGTGAGTGAGACTCTGTCTCCAAAATATGTACATATACATATGTATAAGGTTATACACTTTAAATCAATGAACTTAATTTTTAAAGAGCAGTTTTATTTGTTTATTTATTTATTTATTTATTTATTTTGAGACAGAGCCTCAAGCTGTCACCCTAGGTAGAGTGCTGTGGCATCACAGCTCACAGCAACCTCCAACTCCTGGGCTTAAGCGATTCTTGCCTCAGCCTCCCAAGTAGCTGGCACTACAGGCGCCCACCACAACACCTGGCCATTTTTCGGTTGTAGTTGTCATTGTTGTTTGGCAGGCTCAGGCTGGATTCAAACCCACTAGCTCTGGTGTATGTGGCTGGTGCCTTAGCTGCTTGAGCTAGAGGCACCAAGCCTAAAGAGCAGTTTTAGATTGACAAAAAATTGAACAAAACATGCAGATATTCTCTGCTCCTTCCATCCGTTTCTGCTGTTTTTGGCATCTTGTTTGAGTGCAATACATTCATTACAACTGATGATTGGATATCAACTGGCCCATAGTTTTGTTAGGGTTCAGGTTTGGTGTTGTACTTTCTATGCATTAACAAATGAATAATTTGTGTCCACGGTGACAAAATCTTCAAAATAGTGTCACTGCCCTAAAAATCCCCTGTGCTCTGCCTATGCATCCCTCCACCGCCACACTCCCCCCTCCCCAAGCCCTGGAGACCTCTGATCTTTTCACTGGCTTCATAGCTCTGCCTTTTCCAGGATGTCATGTGGTTGGAATCACACAGTATGTAGCCTCTTCAGATGGGATTCTTTCACTTAGTAATATGCACTTAAGGTTTCTCTGCTTCTTTTCATGGCTTCAGAACTTGTTTCTCCTTATTGCTGAATAACATTGCCTTGCATGGAAGTTCCACAGTTTGTGTATCCATTCACCTAGTGAGAGAGGTGTGTGTAAGTATGCACATGCCTGTGTACGCATATGTGTGTATGTTTATATATATATATGTGCATATATGTTTTATATGTGTAATACATGTATGCGTGTGTGTTTGCATATATATATTAATATATACACACAAATGCTCTACTCACCTAGAGGGAGATATATATACACACACATTAAAAAATATATATATCCCACTCACTCAATAAATGAGTAGATAAATATGTATATGTATAAAGGTGACTCTTGAACAACACTGGGATTAGAGGGCCAACCCACTGGGCAGTCAAAAATCCACACATAGGCTTGGCGCCTAGAGTTCAATGGTTGGGGCACCAGCCACATACACCGGGGCTGGCGGGTTCAAACCAACCTGGGCCTGCTAAACAACAATGACAACTACAACAAAACAGTAGCCAGGTGTTGTGGAGGGCGCCTGTAGTCCCAGCGACAAGGGAGGCTGAGGCAAGAGAATCACCGAGGCCCAAGAGTTTGAGATTGCTGTGAGCTGTGACGCCATGGCAATCTACCGAGGGCAACATAGTGAGACTCTGTCTCAAAAAAAAAAAAGAAAAAAAATCCACACATAGCTTTGACTTCCTAGAAAGTTTACTACTAATAACATACCGTGGATTGGAAGCCTTACCAATAACATAAACACAACTAACAATTAACACATATTTATATGTTGTGTGCATTATGTGCTATATTCGTACAATAAAGTCAGCTAGAGAAAAGAAACTGTTATTAAGAAAATCATAAGGAAGAGAAAATATATTTACTATTGAAGTGGGAGTGGATCATATAAAGGTCTTCCTCATCATCTTTGCAATGAGTAGGCTAAGGAGGAGGAGACAGGAGGGGCTGGACTTACTGTCTCAGGGGTGGCAAGAAAATCTATGTGTAAATGGACTTGTGCTGTTCAAACCTGTATTCAAGGGTCGACTGTACATATGTGTGTGCACGTGTGTGCGTGTGTGTATGTGTCTGTGTGTATGTAGATATCTAGCTAGCTGCACGTGCACACCTATATTTAAGTTCCATCAGCCCTTCCGTTAACTCTGTGGGCTGGCGGCAGGTTTGCTGGCCTGGCCGTTTGCACCGAGCTGCCTTCTTGGTGGGGCTTCCTGTTCGAGCTGCAGCCCCAGCCTTGGCAGAGTGTTGTTTTTAATGGAAACCAGTTGCCCTTGCAGCTCCCAGGGCCCAGCAGCCCATAAACCTCTCACACTCCCGAGCATGTGAAGGGCCCTGGAGTACAGTTTGGTGGAATTGTGGCGCCTTGGCTACCCGTTCTCTGGGATTAATGGCCCTTTGCAGAGGTTGTAAGAATGACAAACTCAGAAGCGATCATGCCCAGCTTGGCTGAACATGCTGTTCTTGTAATGCTGTTAAACCAGGGGTGCGGGGCAGGGTCACTGGTGTTGGCCTGCTCCTCGGGGCAGGAAGGAGACGTGTGTTCTCAGCTGCCCAGACTGTTGTTCACGTTAGATGAGGACTTGGCTCGGCCAGCAGACTTTGATCAGGTCAGCATACTCCCGCTCCGCATCTCCAATAGACCGCTGCCACCGAGGGGCCCAGGATGCAACCAACCTCAGGGCATGGAGGGAAGATATGTTCAAGCTGGGGCCAGACTGGACTCTTTTCCCCTCTTCTGGGACCAGGGCACATGTAGTGGGGAGCTGGAGGCCTCCAGTTCCAGCTTGTCTGCTTCCACCACTCTGTGCCTGTTTTCTCAATAAATAGGGGTTGTCACCCTAAACTTTCAGGAGTGCTGTGACCCTATAGAGATAGTGCACAAGAAAAGAAGCAAGGTTTGTTCTCTTTCTTTTTCTAAGATCTCAAACAGAAGGCAGTCTTTTTATAAGAGAGACATTTATAAATTTAGAGTGAATTTGAAAGAAATAGTGTAATAAACAACTATATACCTTTTGCCTTGATTTATAAATTAATATTTTGCTCATATCCTACCCCATCTACCCTACACCCACCCTCCAGCTATCCATCAATCCACTGATCTGGCCACATCTGTCTATCCATTCATCCATCTTCTACCCATGCATCCATCCATCCATCCATCCACCTTCCATTCATCCATCCACCCTCCATCCATCCATCCACCTTCCATGCATCCATCCACCCTCCATGCATCCATCCACCTTCCATGCATCCATCCACCTTCCATGCATCCATCCGTCCATTCAT